TTCTACCCGTTGAAATTAGCAGCATTTGGCCAAGAGCTTATGGGTGTTTCCATTTGATTTCAGCTGCCTTTGCGTACAGCGCTTCATCAAAGACACAGATACATACTGCAAACCAACAGCATCTTTGATCGTTTTTGTCTGGCTTAGGAGTTCATAGACTGTGGGCAGGTCACTTGCTGGAGCATTTATTGTTGGAAGGTAACTTATTGTGTCTTGAGCAATAGTGACCTTATCCCTAGTCAAAACATTGAAACCATTCCACCCACTGATTTGGCGGATCAAAGACCAAACCAAATCTTTCAACAACGCTGTGGGTTCGGCAGCATTCCCATCAACATGCAGGATTTCCGTTTGTGGTAGGCCAGGACGTTCTCCAGCTATGTAAGATTGTAGCATAATATCGCTGGGTGGGAGTAAGACACTGCGTTTTTTTTCACATTGGTGCAGACGATGCCTCTATGGGAAGTCAGCTGTGTATACTTTGGGTTTAACTACTATACCATTGACGCGATGAGATGTTCCACCACCGGTTAGGGTCTCTTCAAAACGATCAATATTGTCGTAGGCTAATGTGACTGGGACGTCTTGGTAAATGTTTGAAGGAACAGAGAAATTGAAATCTTCTCCCCTCTCTAGTTTTTGAAGGCAAAGAGCTGTGTCTCAATTTATTCTAGCTTGGAATAAGATATTGCATGCCCTAGACGATTCAAAGTATTAACTTAACATTTCCAGTCAATGTTTTGATAGCCCAAGGGAGCAGAATATGCTTAGCTGTTAAAAAAGAGCCCCTATCGACTGCGTACACACAATCCTGCGCAAGTGAATGTACGAGTCTCTTTTCCCGTAATGTTGGTGTGCTGACCTTCTCAACAGACAAAAGAATGTGAAAGAAAGAAGAAAGTGACAAGGGGAGAGACACGTACTCGGTATTCAGCTCATCATGTTGTGGCAGCAATCCTTGGTTTATATCTTTCTGTGATGTCTGTATGCCAGCTCTCAGATACACTGCTACTTTACTGACAACTTGGCCACGATCTGAAGAATAGACATGACCGTAACTCCTGTTTTACCTCAATTAACTCATTTGCCAGTTCGGTAATTGATAAATTGTCAGGAGTGACAAGCGGCTCGCCCTGCTTATTGGGGATATATATTATATAATAGTATTTTAAGAACTCTCCCTCAAGATGGGTGGGTTCTTTGTGTGTGTTTCAATTTCTTCAATTCTTAGTAATTTCATGAACGCAACAAGTTGTTCAGTCATTTCTATCATGGAAAGAACATGAGATTTGGGGAACAGTTCTGACCTGATATGCTGGAATCACTTTTTGTAGGCAGCATCTTCAGCATTTCCATATGGCAAAGGTTTAACAGTGATCGCACAAGTATTTTTGTCATCAGGACAAAGATTTCCTGTATCATCACACTTGTAATCTCTTGTGTAATCACGACAACAGGTCTTTTGTAATGTGCTTTGACAGCTACCAATTCAGGTGAGGTGGTGGCTAAAATCTTATAATCTACCTTCAAAGTGGCCACTTGACGAACTTTATTGTCAGCGCAAATTTCACGTGCTTGAAAAAGAGGTTCTTTTGTCCGGCTACGCCTCATGTATTTGTTGCTTTTGTCACAAAAATGAACACCTTCTGATAAACACGTGATTTGGTAGTACGTTGTTCCCTTGGTGACCTCCTCTGGTATGTACTACAACCTGCACCCGTGAAACCATCATCGCTCTCCACTTTGGACAGAGCAGCGCAAAGACTTTTTATAATGTCCAAATGTACTCCAACAATTTCTGTGGTAATATATGTCTGGAATAGCTGTCGCTGATAGCTGATGAAGAAACTTGTAGTATGGGCTCAAAGGCACGAAATTTTGCCGCATTGAGCAGGGTCACCCTCGAAGACGGATCTTTGGGGCATATAAGATATGCAATGTTGTCTTCTGTCAAACATATAATACAAATCTGTGTACCTTTGGATTGGGAATGACATGCTCGAGGTTTCTTCGAGGGTACAGGGCATTATGGCCTATGTTTTTCGTTGTCACATTCTATTTGGGACACTCTGAGAAAATATTTCAGAATGTCAGAAAGAAATAATAATTGCCCCTAAAGACAGCAAGCTAAGGGTAGGTAGGAAGATTGCCTCAAGAACGCATCAAAAACTAGGCTTTATAGTTTATGCAAAATTGACAGCATGATAAAGCAGGAATGACAGTTTAAACATGAAAAATGTATCAAGCAGCAATAGAATAGCCTAGAGTATGGATTAAGGAGAGCATGTAATACCTAATCCTGCACATGTAGGCCTAATCACTCCATCAGTAGTCCAGACCGTTTACACAACAGGGTGGTGCAATGGGCCTAACATGTACACTACAACGGCATGGTAACTTAATGGTAAATCACACTCACCAGAGACTCACAATCAGTGCAAGATCGGCAAGGTACAATTCATGAAGGCTACAAGCAAAGTTGCTTTCAACCGGGGGAAAACTGACAGTATCAGAATTTTGTGCTTATAGCGACCTCGTAAGCAAGTGAAGCCACAGCGGCCATGACAATGCTAAACTTCAAGTGATGGTCATTTAGCTGATTGTATTCTTCTTTTAACGATATTGCACAGGATTGTCATACTAATGCACAACACTTACACTTTTCTCTGCCTCCTTGCATTCAAATAGGGGCGTGTATTTTTTTCCGGCCAAAAACTCTACAAGCGAACATGACCCCTCAAAGGTGTACGTGTCAATGTGCTTTACGTGGTCTGGACACAAGACTTGTTGATCGTGATCTTTGTGGTCCTTACCAACGACTATTTCGTGGTTCCAAATGCGTTGCACGCGCAGGCCACTATTAGCAAGAAGTTTTGAGAACCGTTTTCGCCTTACTCTATGTAAAAGAGGAATACTTACGCTCCACTTAGTAGAGCTAGCCGGTATATATCCTATTTTCTTGCACTAAAAGCCGATTAAATCAAGCCCTGAATAATTCTAAACACATAAACTGACCTGTTACTGTTAGCAAGTCACTCTTTCATGAAAACCAATAAATATTGTGAATCTGCTCAATGTAAACATGGGCACAGCACGGGTAGTCTTCCACGTGATGAACTTCGGCTGTTTCCTGTCAGCTGAACACATTTCCTTATCGTATATGAAATTGAGATGCAAATTTTGATGAATTCTTTAAACAGCCGCCTGTTGCGTACGCTGAAGAGGACTCTGAAAGCTTTGAAATTTACCGCTAAAACCTGTCAAAAACTGGTAATAAGCTACCAGTTTAGAAGGTCTATCATATTGTTTTGTCCTTTTATTTTTCTCATCATAAAACTCATATGAGAATTAGACCCTCAAGATGGTGCCGACAAATTGGCTGGCCCATGGACTGAAAGGGACGGCTACGAAGCATGTATAAATGCATTGCACCCGTAACTGGAGTTGAACTGTAGACCCCACTACGTAAATCCTGCCTTTAACCAGTTAAATGAAAAATGCTCAACCCTTCTCCTGGATTATACACCTCTGCTTCGGAATCCGCACTCTTGAACTTTTTTGCATAATACCTCCAGAAATCATAACCCCTTGTAACCATGATTTATTAGAGAAATGAAAGTTTTACTGGCGGTCAGTCAAGCCCTTGTGAAATGTATTATTAGGTACAGTGTGCGACAACCGTTACGGGTCCGTCTTTCGACACGGATCATTGTGAAAGAGGCGTGTTCAGCTAAAAGATTGTTTACAGGCAATTATTGTTGATAGAGACTGCAATAAAATTAAGCTTCGTTTGCAAAGTTCAAAGTGCGGGTACTGAGCGACAGTAGGTGACTCTAGGTGGAACTGGGCATTCTTGGAGCGTAACAGAAACTAGCTTCTGTAGCTAGAAGAGTCTCAAATCATTCAGGATTAAAAAAGGGAACTAGGTCAAAATAACTTCACCGGAATTAAAGCCGACAAGGAGAGTCTTGGCGATTTCTTCTGGGGTCATGTCAGCCAAGTCCGCACTGTACAGTTGCAGCAGCTGCTCCTCCTTCGATGGCAGGACTTCGAGATCGGACTCCTGATTCACAAAAAGTGCACATGGTCATAACATATTTGTAATGGGAACAGGGAGAATAAGGATGGGGTGAAATATAGTAAGGTTATGACTTGCCCAGCGATGAAAATCTGAGACGTTTGCGGGATACCCTTTTAATTAAAATCGCTGAAAAGCGATCTTGATTAAACCGATGTACAGTTGAAGTTGTGTTTCACACTGCAGATCCTTATGTCAGTATGATGTTTTAGACATTTAAAAATGTTTTGAGTGCTATTCAATGTACTTTGGTTCTCAAAATTCTCACAAAAATGTTTACATTCGGCTATTAACTTTAGTGTAGCTCGAAAAACTAAGGCGGAATTGATTCAATAGCCAACCCCTGTGTCAAAGAGCTTGAGGGCGGATATACCCCTATAATGGCGATTTACACCTAGGCATGTGATTTATAAAACCACTGCATAAAAAATACTTCTATTGTTATAATTAGTTCAAGGAGAGTGGATGATGAGAACAAACTGTGTTATTTATGAGTGGTTTTATTGCTACAATATGGCACGGATAAATTTTCAAGTTTTTGCAAACACGCTTTCAGAGCACTCTTCTCATCCAGTGTAAGAATTATACTTGGACAGATGAGATTTTTACAAATGTTTTCCTAATGGTATACCCATGACTGATATGAGTGATCATTTATTTGCCTTCAAAGCAATAGACAAACGTACAATGAAAAATTGGAAAACTTCAAAACCGTTAAGCGTGTTTGCAAAAATTACTTGCGCAAGACAATGTTGATGAGACCTGTGAGAATTTCTTAAATCGTCTGCGGCATCGTTTTGATAGAGGTTTTCCACAGTGTGAGCTCAACATTTCTGTGGGGATCCTAATTTTTCACAAGAGTAATTTCCAAATGTTGCGCCCTAGACGGTGCCCTTTGTCAATCAGCCTCTTTGCATTGCCACGGAGACGAGGCGCACCCTGGCCGAAATTATCGGGTTATCAGCTCTTTTCTTCTAACTTTGGAACCGTAATCTGGTAGAATTAGTTGTTTATCGGCATCGTGAATAATCAGAGAGTTGGCTGGGATATATGACATCCGCTAAATCGAATGGATCATGAGGCTTTGGCGGAGTATATCTTCCCGTTTTGGCTGGGTTTCTCTGGACTCACGAGCGACAGCTTTGTGCACAACGTATTTGTACACGGGGACATGCATCACGCGTGCGGTGTGCGCGGGTGAACGTGTGGCAATTTTCAGTGACCTTTGACACACATCCATAGCAACCGAGTTTCGTGCACGTGTGCATGGTGTACACTGATTCATACTTGCTTTTGCAGTGGTTACTATAACATACTTGTATAAACTTTATGAGAGCACGAGTGTAGTATGGGTTTCATGCTCGTACATTATTTTTTTCAAAACCTTGTCTTATTTTGTACAGGATGATTCAGGCCTCTAATATCTGATGCAACAAGAATATTGAGGCACCAAGCCCACGGATGTTGGTGAGTCTGGAGTCAAGCCCATGCGTACTTTTGAGTGATACCCAGTTGGTGTGATGTCCAATAGTTGGGAAACACACTTTGACATGTGTATAACAGTATACACGTGAAATGTTCTCATTTATTTATGTAGTGTTATGTGCAATTAATTTACAGGGATTTAATTTCATCTTGGGATTTTTGTAACCGGCCAACATAGAAACAGGGAAGCTAGACGTTGGTGTCTGTTCTTGACTTTGTGGATCTCCTTACCGGAGGATGCACGTCCTCCACCCTGATGGAACCGTACGGTTTCTTCCTACACACGGAACGCACCGGGCGTCGCCTGCGACCTTACAGTTGTACAATATCAAAATCATCGTGGATAGAGAAATGAATCTATGATTCAATCAGAGAACATAATCTGTACAAAAATATCTTCACAATCAAACAGTTAATGGTAAATTTGTCTACATAAAGTTAGAAAAAACATGTTAACATATTGTGCTTATGGTAAAGAAAATAGGGGAAATATTTCAATGGCACAAAGAAGATTATCGATTCTTTGCTTGGTGAAACAAGTGTCAGTCAAAATCCGTCCTAATTACTTTTAGAATAGGAAGCAGTTCTGTTTCAGTTAACTCTGCTATTTCAACCACACACTATTGCCGATGGTGTTCCATAGGACTCTGTTTAGGGTCCCTTATTGCCATATATTTGAATGAAATTTCCTGTCGTCTTTATGTTGATGAAATGAGTCTTTCACATAACCATCAAATTGTAAATACAACCACTGGCAATCTGAATTCAGAACTTGTACGGGGAATGAATGGCTCTTGTTGAAAAGAACGCTCAGTTAAATTACTCAAAACAAATTGCATATTTGTTAGCTCTCTTCAAAATAATTACACACTTAAACACGAAATACTTTTTTATCAGTTGGCGTAGTACTACATTAAAACTAGGTAAAGGGTCCTGGGTGTTTAGCTGGATCAGAGCCTCTCTTTGAGTAAAAGTACTGACGTCTCGTGTACCGGGGTTATCTGAAACAAAATGTTCCGATGAAAACTATACTTTATTTAGGACACTTTGTCCAATTTAACTTTAAATTTTTAATTGTATCAGTTAGTATGTGTTTTGTATTTCAATTAGTCTGGATAGCCTCTTTGACAGAATTTATTTCTTTTTGGCGATACTTCTGGAGCTGTTTACTAAAACGTTATTGTCTTCGTAACCTGTTTTCCCCGGTAAATGAATAAACTGATATGAAATAAATGTTCTTCCCTTAAATTATACCGTTCTTTCTTACTTAAATCGGCCTCTCAGTGCAAAAGCTGTTTTACTTTGCTGAAGAAAGTTTTCCGAATAATATCAAAAAACAGATTACTCACACAACTCCATCATTTGTTGAGTAAGGGATGCAAACTGTAAACTAACTTTTTTTTTTAACTTGAACTTCGGTAAATGTTTTTGTATATACAAACATGGTCTTTAAGTGCGCGATTTAAATGACTGTTTTATAACCGTCCCCTTGTTGCATTCCTTTGCAACTAGAAGTGACCTTGGATGACTATAGTTTTAATTATAACTGTATTTTGTTTTCCATAAACAGTCTTATCCCAAGATTTGTGTCCTTTTAGACCAACCTTAATACGGAAACGACAGTCTCTCAACCCTAAATGCATCAGAAACCAAAAACCTACATAGTTGTTTGATAAAACTTACAACTATGTTGACATGTAATCATGTCAGTCTGCTTCAATGCTTCAAGTGGTCTGGTTTCAACTGATAACATATCTGTCTTACTGTTGTCCGTCCTTGCAGTGTATCGTATTGTATTGTCCCATATCTCCTATCGCAGGTTTCTGGTCTAGTCTTAATTACTGTTGGTGTAATGGGGAAATCCAAAAGCACACTGTTTCATTTTTCCCCTTACTGTTGATAATAAATCAAACTATGTACAATTACCGAACTTGATAATACGTCAGTTCTCATTCATTGTAATAACACATTTTCTTGTATGTAAGCAATTCATATATTTGGGACGTCTTCCGTCGCCACATGAAATAAATGTATGTCATAGTACGGGGGAGGGGAATACTTTGTCGTCAGGGGATAGTTAATTTTTTAATACCGTCTTGCAACTGTCGACTAGTCGGGATAATGGATCTTCTGACCCCGCTCTAGTACCAAAACAAGGCATAATGTGTATTGGGAAAAATAATTTGTAGCTGACTGATCAAGCATTCGTTAAAGTGAGACAGACCAGGCCAATAAAACGGTAAATGATTTTCTCAGAAAATGTGCTTTTGAATTTGCAAAATAAAAATTGAATTTGGCGAACATTTTGAAAACGACGCATAACCGGGTGATATTTTTTCGCAGTAACACCGCCTGTCTTTTGCATCGTGCATTGCAGTCATTCATCATTTAATTAAGGGATTACAAAATCTTTATGGGGATTTCAGTTTGACCTTTTTTTGCGACTTGTAACAAATGTGCAATCTTACAAGGTAAAAATTCGTCTTTAACTGTTTATTCTTTGGTGTTTTTGTTTTCAGTTTCATTTGTTGCGATGCAAGGTCGAACATTGAAGGGAATTCCTTCAACTAGTTTCTTTGGCCCAAAAATGCAGCCAGATGGTTGTAAGTAAAAGCAAGACTACAGTAGGCAGAGCATTGTCATATTCTCCTTAACACTTGAAGCTTAGCTCGTCCATAAAAGGCCTAGCGTGGACAACACACACACACACAAACAAGTGTGTATTTGCCTGCAACTGGGGACCCCCTATTGTTCCTCTTTTGCTTGTACTATAACTTTTTTAGAAGACCACCCATATGTTTTGTACGCAGTTGTCAATCGGGGACCCTGTGTCAATCAGGGACTTTATTGTCCGCTATTGTTCAGGGTCCCCAATTGAATGCAGAAACAAACTCATCCACACTCTCTTTTCAAAACTGCGCCATCAGGTTTGTGTAGTAGATTGATTGTTCAACTTAACAAAGGGGTGTCAAAAGCCCTCTGTTCTGTTGGCAACAAACAGATGACCTCTTGTTTTCTCTTTCTCTCTTTTTTTCTTTTTTCCAGTTGTCACCTCACCAATGCTTTAAAAGACTACACGTACCGGTTCAGCTAAATAATCATGAATATTGAAACATATATCAATTTAATTGAAATTTTCAAAGAAGTTAACTTTTGTTAATACTCATACGAATACTTATGCTTGACCTGCCGTACCTTTAAAACACACTATGGCTCGAAATTCCCTGCACATTTAGCGTAATAGGTTGATTCCAGTTTTAAACAAATGGGTAATGGCAAAGGTACCTAACTGGATTGAGAGTATTCATGTGCACATCTTCCAATTTGTCGGAGAAAACAGATGATTGACAACCTGATGTAGAATATCACTAACAGCAGTTATGAAGTAATGGACCAATGCTTAGAAACAAAGTAAGAACATCACCACCCATTTTAAAGATGTAGCAGTGGTTTAAGACGCTTTGTAAGTCGGTACTCACCATTATGGCCGAAGATGAAACCGTCACCAACGCGGCTGCAAGAGCCACCAGCTTCCACATGGTAGTCATTCTCAAATCTTTGAAGTGAAGTCTCTGACTGGAAATTGAAAAAATGGCCAGGTGTACTCGGAAGAGAAAATCACTGTGAATGAAAAACTCGTTGTAGAGTGACTTTATATACCTTACAAACCTTAGAAACTTTCTGACTGTTTTTACAGTAAGACTGGTTCAATAGCAGAACAAAAACAAACAAAAAAATATTCTGTTTTAGTTGATGTTACAGGGTTTTTTTAGACTGCAGGAAAACGCTGATGTAGTCTTCACTGCTTAGCCATGAACAACACTTGAAAAGACAGACAGACAGACAGACGACGCTATAAAAGTTGAGGCAGGGTAATAATTAACACAGTCGTTATGCCATACCTGCAGAAACTGGCTAGAAAAAGGACAACTACCGCCTTTGATGACTTTATTAATCAATCTTCATAGTTAGCATTCGTTAATGGTGCCCCAAAATCCCAGGGATGGATAGTCTCGAATATGGTTCCAGAAGTGCAGTGTACATATCATCTATTTTTTTAGCTTACATTTTTACGAACCCTTCTGAAACACACACACTCAGAAATGGTTATAATCGAAACCGTTGGGAAATCTGCTGGTACTGGGAATTGTGAGTGCACGGAACACCCACAAAGAGGAGATTGTATGACCTCTATTCAGAAATCTGGTGGGCAGAAAGTGGCAAAATAATATCAAAGGAAACAAACATGTCGAAAGAAAAAGCACCGTTGCATGGCATATTGAGCAGATTGCGTGGTTAAATAATTACTTGGGGTGAGAAATGTGGGCAGATTTGTTTCGTCTGTACGATGCAGTTTGAGAATAGGCCCGTGGAAACTACTTATGCACAGAGACAAACATCTTGCTCTTAAGTTTAATTTTAACTCTAAAGGTTACGTTGCCGACGCTTAATCAATTGATTTCTTATTAGTTTTGAATTTGTATAATTTTGCTGGAGAGTTTGTGCACGGTGACCTTTACCCTAAACCAACTGCGCGCTATGCATGTCGTTGTAATCGGCCCGGCAGCTAGCCACAAGTGATGTACTCACGCATAGCTGGGCACGTTTTTAGCAGAGTTTCGCAAAATGTATGGCATGGTGTCTGCTGTACGTTGAAAGCTGACAAAGGACTTAGTTTTACCAAGTATTAAAATCGCTTTGGTAACTAAAAGGAACACGCTTGGATGAATTCAATGGCCATCTATGTATGTCAAAAACGAGTACGTGTGTTTTCTCAAAAGGCTAACAGCATTACGTGCCATTTTGGTAATTAAAGATCCAGGTCGGTATCTCTAGGCTCCTTGTTAAATGTATTGCAAGCATGCTGAGCCCACAACGGCAAGCTTTCCTGCTTTCCTTCCCTGTCCTTCACTTTTTGTAGCATTCAAGATGACCCCACTCCGGTTGGAAGTGGAAAGTGCAGTGCTCCTTGTTTCATTTGGCCATTGGTATATATGTTCTTGTACAGGGTGTCCCAAAAAACAAACCCTGAGGAAAGGGGTTAATATGCCCAAACCATGAGATGTGATTAAAATGAATGAGAATCGCGAAAAAGTAGAAGCTGTATTCTTTTTAATGATACCTTGATAAAATCCCTCCTGTCATGCATGACGGAACACCATCGTATTTAAAATGTGGCATTACACTGTTATTTACACTGTGTTGGCAAAAATACACATAAATGCAAGAAATATAGAATTTGAAAGCCTACACTGTGATTCAGAGAAGCTAATGTAGGTCATGCGTTTTAATGAGTGTGTTAGAAAAGAATTAAATACAATAGATCCCTAACGAAAGTTACCATGACTGTAAGCATGCCTTCCTGCTCGACTAATTTAGGTATTTTAATAAATAACCTTAAATAACCTCAAGATGCTTGCGAAAGACAACCGCATTCCATTTTTAAGGTTGTAATTGAATTTAGTCTTGTTTGTTCGACTTCAGCATGAAAACAATCGCACGGTTCCATCTTTGAGTTCAGGAACGTTTACAAGTTCTCAACAAATATTCCCAGAAAGGTTTCTTTATACATTCTCAGTGGTCAACTTTCATTCGAGTTGTTTTCAGAATGTTGGTAATTCCAGTGTCACGTTTGTGGAACTGAAAGCTCCATCTTGTGAATTTGATGTTACCCTTCTTTTCAGGACTTTTCAGAAGGGACTTTCACTTGCGTACAAATTTCTATTCAATTTAGGAAGAGCTTGATCAATATGGAACACTCTATTCAAACATAAAGTACAGCCAATATATACATAATGTATATAAAATATTTCTGTCAAAAAACAAGTTCACTTCTTTTTGATATGTAACTGATCATGTTTATGTCAGAGATCTGTGTTTTCTTTACACAAGTAACCAAGACAAAAGATAAATTGTTCTTATCCCGTTATTATAACTAAAGTGACTTAAAGTAATTATGTGCATTTTATGTTGAGTACAGAAATTCCAATGTTATGCGGGTGATGACAGAAAATAAGTGTTACTTGAATTCTAAATTGCTCTTTTTTTCTGCAGTGTTTGGAAGATATTTGCCATAAAAATGGGGATGTTTTTGCATTGCTCCTTTTTCTTTTTATTTCTTATAAAAAGAGCTTGTTGAGGAATAAACTGTACATGGGAGTGATTACTTGCAATGCAGAATGTTTGCAGTCACATCCAGAGGCTCACCAACAAAGAACAGGGGTTGTATGGTACGGCATTCAGATAAATTTCTGTTGTGTAATGTTCACTCTCCTGCAAATTGATCTGATGCTGGGATTAAGAGCCATTACCCCAATTCAAGAGCCATAATTTGATATCAATCACTGTTGGACGGGGAATTGGCTACCCGTATACCAACTCGATCAGCCTGGCATTTAGTGCGTTTTCCAGGTCTTAACTTGAGAGACAAGAATTTGAGAGGGATGAGTTGAGACGTCATCTGAGGTACCTCTGACATAAATGTTCGGCATCTACAAAACAATCAATCTCCAAATGGACTAAACGAGCGCTGTGTTGTATGAAATTTTAGTTGATGTCACGAGATAAATCTGTCACGTGTAACCTTTCTTTCAAACATATTCTGAGCAAAGAAGATTATCTGAACGTCAAACAGTCACAATGGATTTCATAAAGTTGATTCAACTTTCAGTTTAGATGACTGGGAAGTGATATCATGGCGAATTCATTACGTCACGTATGTATTATTAAACTACACTATTTATAAAACAGTCACAATGACATCATCACAAGTCCACAGGCGTAATCTTACTGTTGATATTTCTGATGTTTCAAGTACTGGACGTTTGAGTCAAATTTCCGTAACATCTTAGAGGGACACAACTTCTTGTCACATTACTAGAGAATTGTAAATCAGATTTGATTTAACCCCAACCCCATAGAGCTTATGTAAATTAATTTGTGTAGGCACATGAGCTTGGGGTGTGTTATAGATGAAAACTCAAGAAATGATTGGATAGGGTCACCATGGGTCGATAGATATCATCTGAAAGGGGCATACTTTTAATTGTCCTAAAACTAAAAGATCTAAACTTGGTATGTTTGTAGTAATGATGATTTCTCTTGGTTTGAATTAAAGGTCACGTCATAGTTATTGGAGTATATGGCGTCATTTTAAAAGTGCCATCTTCAAGGTGAACATTGTTAAGTTTGTATAAAAGGTAAATCCCATTCCATTAGTTTTTGTATGTAGGTAGACTGGAATGTATCATAGGCCTAGGTAAAACTGATAAAGACGCCATGAAGATATCATCATGTGAATTTTACATTTTTCCTGCATATCTCATCGTTTTTATATCGTTTAGCTCTCCACCAGTAAGCATGCATATTTGCTGATTGTTTTTCCTCAAACTTAAAATTGCAGAAGAGCCCTGTGTTCTGTTGCAAACAGATGTCGAAGCTCTCGTTCGTACTACTGTAACCATTAATATTCATTATTTGTATATTATGGTCGCTAATATTAAATAAAATAATAAAATATTACTCAATATTTCACAATTTATCAAACCGTGGGATTAGCAAACTTTCGATTAAGTCAGTCATGACAGTATCTACTTTAAAAATCTGCGTCGGGTCTTGGGTGAAATTCTATTCATTAAACATGGTACATATTGTAAAATAAGGATGATTTTTAACTCGCTCTTTTGGGCATATGTACCCAAGTGAAGAGATAAAATTCAAATCAGCGAGAGTCCCTGATCTTCAGCACTGTTTGTCTGCATTACGTCACGAGTGAAAGCTACGGAGCAATAAGATACATGAAATATAACTTCATGAATGAATTTAGGCATTGTGAAACTGTCTGCTTTCCTACGAATGCCTTGAACGGGAACTTGTTACTAGTCAAAGTACTAAATCCTACATCATCTTTCATGAGTTAATATTCAGTAAACAAATATTACGGATGTAAATAACAGCTGGATGTCTGGGACGACTTACAGAAATACTTTTCGAAAATACAATTTTAAGTAGGGTTTATATGTTATATCTTTTTGTTGGCTCCTCATACATAGCTTGCTATTTTTTACTAGACTACAATCTATGGAGTATTGCAGAGAAAGAACCTCTAGTAGCTTGTGAAAAGAGGTTTTCTGCCCGATCCTAATAATTAATTTTCACTTTGTGCCTTCCTTCCAAAATGAGCAACAAAAATGAACGCCATTCTTGCGTGCAGAATGTTGTACAAGTACGTTTTAGCTTTGATTAAATCTTTGTCTGAAGTTCAAAACGTAAAGAAAAAAACTTGCTGAAATTTTAAGCAAGACTGGAGTTTTCTATATGTAACAATGAACTTTTCCCCAACTTTTAATGAACTTTCAAGTAACTACACTTAGCTGATTCATGAACTATGAAGGAAGGCAAATATTGTGGTCGTGTCACCCCAAACTCTAATCCTCCCCGTACCTGACTCTGTTTGACCGATCATGAGGTGCTTCTACTCAATGGCTATAAGGAGCTAGCAATGAAAAGCGAGCAGGGAAAAAATGGTGTAACCCCATTTTCCCCTACCTAAAGCTGAACTGAGATAAATATTCGCACCACAAATACAGGTGCCACGTATGTTGAACTAGTATGGAGTAGAAAATGAAAAGCAAAAAGGAACAGGTATATTCTTCGAAAAATACCTGTAGTTTTGAATAAACAATATCACCTCACCACCACACAGGCTGAACGATACCCACTTGAATTGTTACCTTGGGTTGTTGGGTACCTTTGGCTTCCATTGCGCAACTACTCCAATTTCCTATTACACAACAAACAGGGATGATTGAACAACGGGAGGTTTGTTTGACCGCCATGGGTGCTTCCCCCCAGGAAAAAAATCTTGGTATTCCCTACGCTGCTCCAACTCTATAGAAACCGAGTAACAGCAACGCAGAGAAAAACGCCAGCGACGGGTTAGTATCCAAACATTACTATACAAAACATGTACACTCTCCAAAGTCTACATTGTTCTAACTGATCATGATAACTGAATGCATTGCGTATGCACTACCTGTATCAATTGTGTTGTTACAAAGGAAGAAGGAAATACCAGCCATAGCATACGTGCATCAAATTCCTCAATCACTTCCTGGAAGTTCAATTGGTCAGTTCATTGCAGTGTCGTTTGGATTGTTAAAAGTCATGGAGTTCAAACCGATGTCATAATTTAGTTACAAATTAAAACAGGTTGTTTAGTCTTTTTTGAAATAAAATCAAGACGGCATGATTACGTCGTCTGCTTGATGCAACGAAATGTAATATTCATAGTGAGCACTTTATGCAATTTAAGATGCCGATAGTTCGTCACATGTTTGATACTACAGGCGTCATATTAATCTGTTGAGTCGTCGTACTGTTGCTGTGCTACTCCTTAAAATGCCTACATTATGCCTACAATACCTAGCCGGGACAGCACTAAAGTAAAACACAAGACTCTTAAAAAAACCACCTAGCAACTGGTTTTGTGACTTCCATATGATGTAGACATTATGTACAATCGTAGATAACCCAAAAAACTACTTTGTCGAAGGAGATGTTAAAAATCTGAAATCCAATTTTTTTATTATTCACATTACCAAACGGGAACTAGTAAGTGTTTCACTTTGCAAAGCCCCCAATGAATCATGCATATCGGATCAGTGACCAATAGAGTTGCCGTTACTGACATGTCTCCCTTGGTCAAACCCTAAAGAACATGCTTTGTGGATGCATCACGTACATCTGCTTCATATTCACCAATAAGGCTTGGTCGTTTGTCAGTGTCGGTGATCTAAGTTTACTTTTGCCTGTACTCGCAAATGTGTACCGATATTGCGTGAACATAACTTATTACGGAAAGGTGAGTGATGTGTGTGAGTGACAGCGCACACTGGTCAATCACAAACCACGTCAAGTCCAGCAGTCACCTTCAGGAACTTGCCAGCTAGTTTAAACGCACCAGCGGCCGCGTTGCTTCTCAGTACGAACGTCGCTCATTTTCATTTCTAGGTGGTTGACCAAGGGAGCAGATTTAATACACACCGGGAGACAACTGTGATCAACATTACAAGGTAAGTGCTGAATAATACCAGTGCGTTAAAGAAAAAATGTAAGAACGAGTTCTTTGACTGTAGACAATCCCCCAAAGGTATCATTCAAATTACTCGAATCTGTTCGTGTTTGCACAGTCAAGGAAACATAAACGCCAAATTGTGACCACAGGTCAGATTTCTGTTGTAAGACTTTCACTGCAAGTCTTTTTAATTTGCTTGACTTTCGCCCTTGGTTGAAGTATTGGCGAGTCAATATAAAGCGGGATGCTTTAGCAATCTGCAGAAACCAATGATTGGAGCATTTGAGTTATCCATGGACTTTGTAAGATTCTGATTTTCTGGCGTCAATGCAATCCTCATTATTTGGATGACGTTTTGCCAGAAACCTGTAACAGTGAAATTATATTAAAAATCTGCAGTGAAAATATCCGAACTGTCAGCCTGACAGGAAGTAGTGAGACATTTTCAATACTGATCAATCAATTCAATAACAATAAAACAGGAACAAATGTTACACGAACGAAAAGTTATCAAATTTGCATTCTTAGACTTCATTTTTTTAGATGTAACTTAAGAGATACTTTGTAACTCTAGTAAAACAGTATGTTTTTAGCTCGTGTACTTTATTCATTCTTGACTCCTAGAGATGATAAAACAATAGGATGTTTTTATTATCCTTGGGATAGGCTTTGGTTATTCTCTCGTTTTCCCTGTTAAAACATACACCTTTTACATTGAACATATTGAACCAAATGTTTGTTTACTTGCAAAGTATAAAAATTAACTAAATGTAATTTTGCCTCAAAACACAAACCTTTGACGAGTAGGCTTTAGATTGTTTTTTTTAGAAGTATATCGATACTTCTATAACGAGCAAACGTTGCTCCCCTACCCTGGTAATCAAACAATTCAAAATGAAAAATTGACTTTGAGCCACAGTGCCACTCATGTTCTTGTCGTGAAGAGTTTAAAAGTCAAATAGATCGATTTAACTAATAATGAATAAGTAAACTGCAAGTGCCTTTCTTCGTTTTGTGAGGTCAAGCCACTCGGATGGCAGTGTTCTTATTGAGGGCGCTGACGTCGGTATGGAATGGTCCATAATGACCAGGGACAAATCAAGAGGGGTGAGAAGTTCTTTGTCTATGATACCGGCAACACATGCTGTAAACTGAGTGGCCTTGTATTGAATGACGTGACGCCACAAATGACCAAACAGAAATAGATCTGAATGCATGAATCATGAAAAGTTTGATGACTGTTCAGCTACAAATGTGTTTTATCAGTCAACATGTATATCTGTAATTTAAACACAACACATTAAACAGAGCTCCACTCGTCACCAGAATGTTGTGCTGCCAAGTTCCCTCTCTCATGTCAATTTGTTTGCAATTTATTGAAGTCATTTTCAAAGAATACTGAGGATAGTAGTGCAAAAATAAAAGGAAACGAAAGCCTCCTTCATGTTTATTAGTATTCTTCCAAATAGGTCACTGGGGAGACACTTTGTGGTAAATTTTCCAACCTTAGGGAGACATTTCAATGTCTCTCTAATGCTCCAACTACCAGAAGGAGGCCAAATTTTGAATGATAATAGAATAAGGTCTACAGTTGTCGTGATTTTTTAACATTGTGACAGCCTTAACATTTAACTGTGTTTATAATATATATTTATATATACATAAATCGCACAGCCTTAAGGATCAACCATTATACGAATTCATTCTTTCTCTTTTCATGAAATTACGTTGTGTTAAAAAATATTTATAAAAAGTAAGTAAAGAATGATGGTGGCATCAAAATCAGGAGTTTAAATACGCTTTCATATCATGCACACTGCAAAAAATCGTCGGTAGCAACCCAGAGATTCTGGTTTTGATGATGTCACGTTTGGGCTCTGTAATTAAACGGCAAAGGTATGACAATTCCCTCTGCAATGACAATTTTCCATCATTAAATTGTAATTGATCTTTAGTGAAGTTCTGATATAACTACTCGTACAATGTGTTGTAAAAAGGTACTGCTGAAAGGCACCCTGAGTAAAGAGGGCAGTTTCACAATGCTTTGATTCTTTCGTGAATGTTTATTTCATATCTTTGAATGCAAGGTGCTTAAGAAGTGATGATGGAAAAAATGCTGCTGAAAACTGCTGAAAAGGGGGCTCTTACGGACTCGATATTTTACTTCTCACTTTGTGCATTTTTGCCCCGAAGGGCGACGATTAATTACATCCTTATACCGAAATGATGTGTCAAATGCTTTATGGGTAGAATGTAGCTCTTTCTAAACCGTTGTCTAAAGTGAAAAAGGCGTGGAATACATACAAGTGGGAGAGGAATCTACTCTACCTGTTTTTGGACTTTTTAACCGGAACTGACCAATGGAGGGCGCCATTTTATAACAACTGTGCTGAGTCGCTAATTAAGAGCAGGTGTTGTGGTTGCGTCGATAGCAACAAGATGTTTTGGTAGATAAACCACTTCTTATTCTGGTTTTCTTCAACCGATGATGGGGGTGCTTTTGCTCAAAGCAGGTTATGAAGTAGTACAGTGAAAAGTGAGCAAGGCGGAGCCAGCACCACTTTTTTCGTCCAGTCCCCGATCTCTGATCTGCCTTTGAGAGTGAAAAATTTTTGTTAACCTAAACGTAACTTTAAATGAAAACATAGAATTAACATTCACTCATAGTATCAAATTATTTTATCACATGCTAAATTTGCATTGAGTGGGACTTGAAAAGGAAAAGAAACATCTGAGCTCCTCCAATACCTTATCTGTAAGTTTAAACAATTGTCACACCATCATCACACAAATTGACGATCCTCAGTTACACTTTCCCATAAGTTATGTTCGAACTACCTTCAAGTTCCCTTGGGATGGCTGCACGTGTTAAAGGCTCAGCTTTAACCTGTCAAAACCTTAGGACGAAGCTTAGGACGAAGTGGAAAGCAATACTGCAAAGATATTAGACTGCTCTATTCTCATAGCAATGAAATAACTCACTAGAAAGCTCTAAAAAAATAGAGGTATGTTTATAATTTCCAGTAGGTTAGCACAGTGCCTAAGAACTCATGCTTCCCTACAGTGCCCTTCACAGTTCTTCGAATCTGCAGTTATTCAAAAAGTATTTCCTCTATAAAGACAGTTGGTGTTCAATTGTATGCCCTCATAAATGAACAATAGACAAGCTAGATTGACCAAATGGTTCGCGCCTCAGAGACTAATTAGAATGACAATTGCCGGGCAAGCAGCAGTCTGCTGATCTTGCCATAGGCGTCAAGGGCCCCTTCAAGTCGACCAACATGCTGCTCAACAAGTAAGAACACTGCAAAAAGAAATGCAGGCGATCTGCTATTACCGTGCTGTTACCATGGAGGGAGGTACCAGTTATTCCATACGTACATCAATTTCCTCAATCACTTCCCGGATAGTTCAACAGGTCAGTTCATTGCATTGTGTAGTGTGGGATGTCATACATCGTGATGGAGGTAGGGTTAATGGCACACTTTGATATCCAATAAAAATAACTCTTTGACAGTGTAGTTGTTAGACATATCTCTAAAAAATGTTGTTAGGATCTACACCAACAACCGCCAAGTCCGCTTTTTTGCACAGTTCGCAACAAACCAGGCGAACCAACGAACGGATGGACTACGTCGACCTTCATCCACCACTCAAAAGTAATTATCAAATAAGTTGGTGATTCAAGATACTGGCTGGTGACTGATAGGATTGCTTGTGTCCATCCAAAAAGAACATTTTTATTGCCTCATTGGCATCTGCCAGAAATCCACCAATGAAACCTGGCCATTTAACAATGTCGGTGATCAAAGCCTCAATTGTGCCTCTATCCCCTCTGTGTGTGTAAACATCGTATGAACATGACTCATCAATATGGGATGAGTCGGTGATGTTGGTGAGTGACAGCGCGCACGGGCCAATCAGGAACCAAGCCAAGCTCACTAGTCACTTCTCAGGAAATGGCTGGCTGGTTTAATGGCACCAGCGACCGCGTTGCTCCTCAGAACGACAGCCGTGTATCTTCAGTTATGAATGGTTGACCGAGAGAGAGCAGATTTAATTGAGGGAGTAGACCACTCCTATATTGCTAGGTAAGTGTTAAATAGATCACTTAGGCCTATGCAAGGATAGGACAATAAACACAATCTAGCAATTATCAATGAGAATTATTCTACTCTGTATTGTTACTCCTGCAAAAACCAACTAATTTTGGAGATGATTTCAGTCAAGACTTTGGGTCCGCCTGCAATTTTAAGCCTGTTGCTTATTGTCGAGAATAAGTTAGAACAGCAAATATTGTTCAACTTTTTGTCTTTTTGTGATTCAGAAATCTTCAGGTAGACAACCACACAAATGTATTTTAAAATACAGTTAACTGAACATTTGAGATAGTAATCTATAAATATTTAGAGACGCCGGCTCATCCTCAGTGAGCAAAATTCTTTCGCTGAACTCCTTGCGCCAAAACTTTTGTTTGCACTTTTTTCTTTGTTTTTAAAACTGTGTGATGTCTCTTATTCTCATTGTTCGTATAGTTTGGTTCACATTAAGACAATAGGTTTGACATTGGACGAAGAAAAAACCACCCACACAAATTTAAAAAAAATCTTTGGCACTGTTGCCTCTTCGTGAAAACGTTAACGATTCACTTGGTGGTTTTAAATTACATTTCGGTGTTGATTCAAAAAAGAGTCATTTTTGTAATGTTATCTGGAGTTATTCAGAAGTTGCACTTCCTCATTGTTACACATCCCTTTATTTTAAGGCACGAGCAGCTTCTGGGAACGACTGACGAATATCTTTAGCTGTAAATGGTTGAAAGACGGAGCAGATTCAATTAAACGAGTTAGCTGACTGCTATCAACATTACAAGATGAGTGCTTGGTAGTGCGCTCAGTGTAATGCAAGAACGAATTCTATCCTGGAAATCAGTTGATCATACATGTAATTGTTATAATATCATTTCAAAACACTTCAGCTTGTCCCCGGGCAGACTCA